CATTGCACATAAAATCCGAGAGAACGGAGCTATTTACAGTGAGAGTAGTGCGATGATTTCATCTCCAAATTCATATAATTTTAGGGGTTGAAACTTTTCTCAAAACACGAAATCTGAATATGTAAATATTTATCACCTGCTTCTGAAACATTGGGGAATCCTCGAGTTTGATAAATGCCGCCATTTTCCACTCGAATTTGGAGATCCAATCTCTCTGTCTCTTTCTTTCTCTGTATTCGCTCTCCAGCTAGCCCAGACTTTTCTCTTTCTTTCTTTTTCAGATCGAATTCGAGGACATGAAGCAACTCGCAAAATGCATATTGCGGAGGGGTTATTTGGTCATTTCATTTCAACGTTTACTCAATTTATCGCTAGTGATTCGCGCACACTAGAACAACGTAGAACCCGACGAGGACAAGAGTCAGGATACGACAGCGACAGTTGCAAGTTAGATTAGCGCATAACTTCTTAGGACCCTTCGATTGTGATGGTGAAAGATCTCCCACCGTTGAATTTCAAATAAGTCGGTAATTTAGTTTCCCCCTTTGTGGATAAATTTACCCATAATTGAGTTATAATATAAATTTTTTTAAATATTACATGGAAGATCCGCAAAGGATCTGACAACCATATAAATCAAACTCAACACGAAAGCTAATATCAATAGGAAAATTGTTAAACTAGATACGAGTAAGTATCATCATGCAGTTGTCCCTTCTTAAATATGATAAATATAAAGTTGATCAAACTGCTATAACAAATGCTTAATGTGTCCAGTAATACTGAAATATAGTGGTATACAAAAGATAATCCATTTTATGTATAAAATTATAATAATTCATTTTCAATAGTGTACTTATTTCTCCCGCCCATTCTATATCATGTTTGGTGACCATAATTTGATTCGATTATAGGTAGGATTAGATTGCATTTGATTACATTGGATTTAAAATGATGAGTAAGCCTTCGTTGGTGCTAGTGTCCCTAATTCGTGTCTCGATTACTGGGTATTGAATTTGAAGTTCAAAGGGTTTGAACAATTTAATTATGTATATTTTTTTTAAAGAAAAATTATCCTACTGAAATGCGCATGATAGGATTATGGTGGAATGATGTATCATATACATTTATCCTACCCACCAAAAGATGCCCTCGTGTAAACGGTTGATCTCATTGGAAGAAAAATAAAAAAATAAAAAAATAACAGCATGATAACAATACACCATAAAACAATTATTGATAAAGTTACTAAAAAATTGTTTAAAGATCCCATTACATTTTAACTGCATGAACAATACAACACAAAATGGCTCATAAGACATGTCCTAACCTAAAAGTAATTTAAATTAGGGCATACCGCCATGTTAATTTTTCTAAATTTTTTTTTAAAAATTCACTATTATACTCAATATAGGAGCCCAAATTATAAAAAGCTCATATATAAAATGGATTTTAGAAATACATCCAAAGCCCATTTACAATATAATAAAAAAGCTTTTAACTTATTTTAAATTACAAAATTATCATTGATTTTTTAAAACAAACCCAATAAAAAAAACTTTAAAAAAATATCAAAACACTCAATAGGGTATCAAAGTAATTTAATAATTAAAATTATATTTAATAGATGTAACTGTCATTTTTTAGGTTTGTTTATAGAAATTAAATAGTGTATGATTTATTTATAATTTTAGTGTTAAGAATGAGTATATGACTAAATATCTAAAAAAAAGAAGCAAAAAAAGGACTACGCGCGCGCACGCTCCGTGCAAATTAGAGAAGGAAAGGAAAAAGTGAAGGTGAGAAGGAACCCGAAGCAACCATTGTGTGCCACTCCCGCTCCCGCTCAAAATCTTAGCGCTGAGAACGATGCAAATAGCGGCCAAAGGGTGGATCGATGGTGATGAGAGCGCAGCGGAGATGCTTGGTAGGGTTGCAACGGAGCGACCCTTCTTGCTTCTTCCGCCTCTTCATCGAGTTCCTCTCCGTGTCGGCAATGTAGTGGAGCTCGTCGGCCCCTCTGCTTCGGCAAAAACCCACATCCTCATTCAAGTGAGTCAAAAAAAAAAAAAAAAAAAAATTTGCAATTACTATCTCAGAGACAAATTTAATTTCTTTTATTCTGCAAATTGTTTGGGCTGATTGTGTTATGTGTGATTAGGCTGCTGTGAATTGCATTCTCCCTAAAGAGTGGAATGGGGTGCACTATGGGGGCTTGGAGCGTTTGGTAATGTTCATTGACTTGGATTGCCGCTTTGACATTCTGCGCCTCTCGGAAATCCTAAAGCACCAAATTATGGAGCCCAACGGTGAGTTGCATTGGTGTCTCTTTCTCTTATATATCGCTTCCTTCATTTACTAAGGATGATGAATCAAGGCTTTTCATTTGATGTTGCTGCTAAAATACGACCTTTTGCTCTGTGGATTTTGTTTTAGGGTCAATGTATTACGATGAGGAGTTGTATGCTTTGTGCATGAGACGCTTCTTGTATGTCCGTTGTTATGATAGTCTTGAATTTCTTGCCACTCTCAAGGTGAGAAGAATCTCTTTCACTTTCCTATAAGTTTTCATTCACAAAGAAAATAGAAGAGGACAATTATCTTTTCTGTCTCTAAAACTACCACCTTTATTCAAGCGAGCTCTTCATTAAAGCTTTTATAGATAGTTGTAGAATTTCTTATGGTAGTTTTTATTTTGGCCTCGATCCCTTTTTCCCTCTTGCATTATAGACATTGCACCATCGGCTTCAAAAGGAAAAAGAAGTGCATCATGTTGGCATTCAATTGCTCATGATTGACAGGTTTGTCTTAAAATCTGGAAATGTTAGTTTTGCATTTGCTTTCAGATGTCATGCGAAGTTTCCTATATAATTGGAATCACTTTGAGACCTGTCCATGCTTTTTCCTCCTTCGCATGATGTTGCATTATAAATATACGAACGATTTAACAGATCGGATTCAGTTTAATTTAAATATTGATCTCTTAATGTCCAACCAATTTTAACAGTATTGGACCTTTCCATTGGGTAGATCGTGTCTCAACATTCTTCCCCTTGGGGGGAAATAAGAGGTAATTACTATAGTTGGTTACTTTTAGCATACCTACAATCTTTTATTTTGTAGAATGACTTATCAAACGATCTTGTGCATAGGAAATGCCTCTCTCTTCAGAGTGTGTTTGACGCTGTCGTTCAGGATATCAAGAAGCTTCTGCTGGTGCATCCCATGCTAGTGATGGCTACAAAAGAAATCATATTGGGGAATGCATATGGCGGGGATGAGGTCAAACAGTGAGTTCCTTCAAAAGCTCAAAAACTTTAATTTCAGCTATGTTGATTTCAGTTAATTGTGCATTCAGAAAAGATAAAGGGAAGGGCAAAATCTTAATTCGTTCTTAGTGTGAATTCCCGGTTTATCAGTAGTTAACCTTTATTTTCATTTTTCTGACGAAAGAAAACGTCGACTTTCATTTACAAAAAGGCAGAAAATATTTCAATTTAAATTGTATAATTGTTTTAGCTTTTAACATGAAAACCAATCTCTTTTCCCCTAAGACAAAACCCCTTCTGCTATTATGGTTTCACCCTGTCTATACATGATTTGCTGTATACTATGCTATTCTCAGTTGTTAATACACTGAACCATGATCCTCTCATAACTGCAATTTCAGAAATAAATCTTTGCTGGATGCCTCAGGGTTAAGAAATTTAGCAAGTAATACTCAACAACTTCCATATCGTGAGTATATGCCATCCGTCTGGCAGGTAATATTCATCAATAGTTGCTTGGTAGATATAACATGAGGAGTCAATCTTTAACTGCATGATATTTGATATTTAAGTGTGCTATTATAGTTTTCGTGTACAGTTGATCTTAGCCAAACTAATATTTCGTTTTTCAGTTAGTTTATTTTTGTTGCATATGCAGTGGGCATGTATGTTTAATCAGTACATTACCAATTCACACGAGTGGTTTAAGAAATAGTAGATTATAGCCAAACATTTTTGTCATTTTATAGCTATTTAACATGATTTAACGATGCACTTGAATTTGCGCATGCATTTTATAGAGGATTCTTCGGTTATTAAGGAATTGTTTAGGGATTGCGGGGAAAATTGAAATTACCGCTGAGAAAATCAAGAACTCTAGTGTTTACAGAAAGATAATTTATTTTAATGGTGGTCATCTTTTTTCTTTACTTTGTAACTATCTGTTTATGAAACCCAGTTGACATGCTAGTTCGTGTGATAGCATGTTTGTACCTCTAATCCCTTTTTTTGCTTGTTGCAGTCCTTTGTTACACACAAGATACTTGTGCGAGCTTCAGGTTCATAATTTTCCCTTTATGGCAACATTTTTGGTTAAATTTGTTCTCTGTCATTGACTACGAATGTACATTTGTCTATCTCCTTCCAGATGATCATATCCCTATAAGACACTATGAAGAACATTCCGTCTATTTGTCGGAATGGTTGTTGCCTTCACTTAGTTTTCGAGACAAGTTTACCGTAAAAGATGTGAGAAAATTTTGTTACGTTTCTCATGATCTGAGAACTGTTTAAAAGAATTGAATAATTTTTGTTGCACATAATAAATCAATGGTGTAACCCGCTTGTGCAGGCTGGTATCGTTATTGTCTCATGATGCGATGCGAGTCTGGAGACTGGAACATAGCAAGGGGGTTGTGTTGTGGCCCTACCTACGCACAAAAAAATGAAGGGGGAAAAAGAACATAAACCATATTGTATTAAAAAGATGAGAATATCATAGAGTAGAATAGTGTAGTGTACATAAACAAAGTTACATTATATTGATATTTGTTTAATTAAAGCTTGTAAATGTTATTTGAAGAACAAACACATTTTCCAGCACAATCAATCCGACACGATGATGATAAGTTGTTATATTGTCATTTCGATTCGATAGGCAAAAGGAAGCCTACGTTGAAACAAACAAACATTTTACCTCATTTACAATAACTACATATGGGATAGGGAAAAGGAAAGGGAGCCGATTTGAGAAGAGAGAGAGGGAATGAGGTTGGTCGTTTCATTTTCCCCCGGTGTACGTAATTTTCCCGCCAATCCAAAAGGCACAATAATACGAGCATTGGCGCCAATCCACAGAAAAGCTTATTTTTATGATCGAATGAGCGTAAATCCGATGGCGTTGGAAAGGGAGCAACCAAGAAAGGAAGAAATGGGTTCCAAAAACAAAACCAAAACCCTACTGGATCTCTTCCAACCCACTGCCTCCTCCGCCAAACGCTTGAAAACCGATTCCATCAGAGCCACACACTCTGACTCTGTCTCTCCTGTACCACCACCATCCCATGATGACTCTTCCTCTTCCGACCTCACCGCCCAGCAAAAGTCACGCATGGAATTACAGAAGCTGCTCGCCAAAGCCAGACGCAACCTCTCTATCTGCTCCAACAGACTCTCCAACTCCAACTCCAAAGGTAATTTATTTTAATTTAATCAATTAAACAACAACAAATTTCATTTCTTTTTCGTTCTGATATAATTAATTATTAATTTAGGTGAAGGAGTGAAACTGGAGGAGCTACTGGTGGAGGAGACGTGGTTGGAAGCGTTCCCCTCGGAGCTTCAGAAACCCTACGCCAAGACCCTCTCCAAGTTCGTCGAGAATGAAATTTGCGGCGGCGCCCTTCCCATCTACCCGCCTACTCACTTGATCTTCAACGCTCTCAACTCCACCCCTTTTGACCGGGTCAAGGCTGTCATCCTGGGTCAGGACCCGTATCATGGCCCGGGTCAAGCGATGGGCCTCTCTTTCTCTGTTCCTGAGGGTGTCAAGGTTCCCTCAAGTCTCGTTAATATATTCAAGGAACTTCACCAAGATCTTGGCTGTTCAATTCCCTCTCATGGCAATCTTGAAAAATGGGCTGTTCAGGTTTTTTTTTTTTTACATCTTTCTTCTACATTATGCTTCATTGAGCTTCTTTTCTGTGAGTTGTGAATTGCGACTGATGTTCATCTTTACAATTGATTCTATTTCTAGGGTGTTCTCTTGCTCAATGCTGTTCTCACTGGTGAGCTCATGTCTTGTAAACACATTTTTTCTGATGCTTGTTTTAGATTTTACAACTAAGAACTAATTTTGTTCGTTCAACATTGTTCTAAAGTGGATTGATTGTTCACAAATGCCAACCGCTTTAGCTACTTGCCGCCACCTTTTCCTTAATGAAAAGAATAAGTTCAAAGTGAGAGTTGTAGATAATGTTTTCCAATTAACCATAGGATAGGAATCAGGAAAAGCATATAAAGATGGCTCTGGATAGTTTTTTCTTATCTATTTTCTCTCTCCTTGTTTTACTCCATTTTATTTTGTCTTATGACCTTTAAATTTCATATTCAGTTAGGAATCATCAGGCTAACTCTCATGCCAAGAAAGGATGGGAACAATTTACTGATGCTGTTATCAAAACAATTTCACAGAAGAGGGAAGGAGTTGTTTTTCTCCTATGGGGAAACTCTGCTCAGCAGAAATCCAAGTAGGTTTGTTTTGTGGTGTGAGTTTTAAATTTAGTGACTCTGCAAATGGAACATTTCCAACAAAATAAATATTACCTCTCTCTCACACACGCACACAAACAAACTGACATGCTAGTTGTTATATACTTGTCTACGCTCTCATGTTTTGGCCTAAAGTACCAAGGAATCGGGACACCTTGGCTCATGCTAAGTGTTTCAATTTGAAATGAATACTATTTAGGTGAACAGAGGGCCTAGCTTTGCTGTATACGGCATGTTCTCTCAATCATAAAACAAACTTTGGCCCATTTTATCCTTTGTTCAACTGTAAAATTGTCTAGAACATCCCTCAAAATGAGTCATTGACGGAACCAACTTGATAATATGTGAATATTGCAAACATCTGGCGCTGCTTATATGGGCATCCGAGGCTATTCCATTTAGAAAGTTCTAAAGATATTCTGAGTGACATCTCCTGGTAAAATTTTAAGGAATCCCAATACTTGTACTTTCCATAGCTCGACAAAAAAGAACACAACTTCTGATAGTCTGGATCTTTAACTTGGATGGAATGCATAGTCTCCGGCTATATGGGTTGAGAAGAGTTAAAGGGGTTTTTATCTTTCAACTGATTGGAGAATTGAATTACAATGCAGGTTGATTGATGAGTCAAAGCATCACATTCTCAAAGCGGCACATCCTTCTGGTTTGTCAGCAAACAGGGGCTTCTTTGGCTGCAGGTCAGTTTTAACTCCATAAGAAATGGTTACCACACAACTTCTATCCAAATAAAGACAAGAGGGTGGGGACAGAGAGCCCCTCCATGTCTACTAATATGGCATAATGGCGATAAGCTTACAATTAGTTTGTTAAAAAATCTGGGAAAGGCTGTTATAATTAGTGTGCATTTTCCTGGGATTTCTTTGTTTGTCTTTATCCATGCGAAATTTCACCGTATTTGCAAGCATGATACTGAGTATAACCCCTTTAGATTTACATGTCTCGAAATATAATCTTTTGTGATTATTATGTTAAGAAAAATTACATGGTAACCAGATAATTTGCTCATGATGTGAACAGGCATTTTTCTCGCACGAACCAGCTTCTGGAGGAGATGGGTATTCCTCCCATAGACTGGCAACTTTGATTAGAAAAGCATCTCACCAAGCAGCACCTAATTGCATTTTGTCTCAAAATATCTCAGTTAAGTTCATCATGTATGAGCAACTTTGGGACTTGTTTAGACGTTGATACATTAGTCTTTTTGTACAGAATACGGTAGTCTAACTATCCAAGATTCCAGGTAGTGTTGCCCCCTAAGCAATTCATTTTGTCCGATGGAGTGAATTGATCCGGCGTTCTTTTGAATGTTTCTGAATTTTCTCTGCTCATCCTTTCCCTTTTGCGAGATACTACTTCAAATAGCAATATCTGCATTTCCCATATACCCCCCAACCCAATTTCATTTTCTAATCTCATCTACAAAAGGATTATTATAAGGGAGATTCACTATTATACCCAATATAGGAGCTTGAATTATAAAAAAATCTTATATGAAATGGACTTTAGAAACACATCCAAAATTTATTTACAATATAACAAAAAGGTTTTTTACTACTTTTAAATTATAAAATTGCCATTGATTTCTTAAAATAAACTCAATCTCAAAATCTCATAAAAAAACTCAAAACACTCAATAGAGTATTAAAGTAATTTAATAATTAAAATTAAATTTAATAAGGTCAGTTGTTATTTTTTGGGTATATTTATATAAATTAAATGGTGTAGAGTTTATCTATATTATTAATGCTAAGAATTGTACTAATTCTGATATGTAAATGTGATTTCTCACATGATAAAAAGTTTAGACTTTGGATCTATGGATTTTGAATTTGAAAAATGATTGTTGGTGGTAAGTTGATTGATGGTTAAAAATGCAATTGCAATCACGGTTGGCAAATTCTGCACGCCCTATCCACACTCTGGTCTGGTGTAGTCTAGTGGCGCTAGAAACACGACCATATGCTTATTGTAAGCCCAACAAAACTTGATGAAGAAGTTGGACTTGGATTTCTTGTGTGCACGTGACTAGTTGTCGTTGGCCTCACGCTCAGTGATGGTCAACACACGACACGCCACCACTCACTCATCAAAGAAGCGAAGCGAAGCAAAGCAAAGGACTTTCCTTGTCAGCCACAAACTAACTGATTAAGTAGGAAAAACCAACCAGCGGTCCTGATTATTGTTGGGTTTCTCTAATTTACGTACAATTCTAAGTTGAGTTGCAAAATCACCACTAGATCCTATTACCATATCCGAAACAGGCAAGCATTAGACCCAGAAATCATATCTGCTCACTTCACTTCCAAACAATACCAGGTTGGATTTATATTTACACGCTCAATTTTAATGTTGTTTGGTTGTTAACACTACTGTTCTTGTTCATGAGTTGAATTGAATGCCCTCTCTCTCTCATTTATTTGTTTAAATTTCTCATGCGTTGCGAAGAATGGTATGCTGTAATCAGTACTATGAATAATGAATCTCTCTCTCTCCTTTTCCTCTTCCTGCTTTTCAAATCATAATGGAACCCAATCAGCAACCTGGATTCTGAATGCTTGTTCTTGTAAATTTTCCAGATTGCATGTTGTTCCTGAAAAAATAAAGAAAAAATAGAGAAGGCGTTTTGAAAATATTATTAATCAAGGGTAATATTGTTGTTGATTTTGGGATAGTCATAGAGTTCCTTCAATGCCTTTTTCAGGAAATGACGAGCATTATTTCAAGCCACCACTGTAATTGGTCATTTGGGGTTCAGGAGAACCTTAACACAGGAATGGGATTCAACAAAGTTGTACTTCCTGGATATAATGGTTTGTATTTTCCTTCAAGAGGAGGTTTGGTTTTTTCCAGTGGTAATTGTCACATCCGTTATCACAGTGATCGGAGACATAGGCCTATCTTTTCAAGTACAACAGATGATGGCATAAATCCAGATGACTCAGAAGATCCAAATGATGCAAAAGATTCTTCTCCCGAACCTGAAACTGGAGGGGTATGTTGATGTTCTTCTCTCTGCTGCCATATTTGTGATATGACTGCTAACAAAAACCATTGGGATGCGAAACGTTGGTTACTCAAGCTCGATTCTGGTCTAATGGGTTCGTCATCCCAATTTGCTCAACTGAGTTTATAGATTAATGAACAGTTTGGCCAAATTCAATTTGCATGGAAAATATTGTTTCACATGTTCCCCTGTTTCCGTTATGTATAATATCATCTGCATATACATATGATCTATGCTGCTTAAATCAATCCCTATTGCTATCTTCTATAAAAAAATTATGGTATCTGCTATTCATTTGAAAGCATTACTTATTTAACTGTGCGTATTTGTACACTATTTTAGACGGAATTAATGGCAGATGTTGAGTTTAGATGGCAAAACATGTGTGTTTTTATTGACCTTCCTGTGTATTGTTTCAGGTGAATAGTGAAATACTTAGAGAGAATCTTGAAAGACTTGTTGGTACAGATGATTCCTCCTTCAGTGGGATAGACCTGGCAACTCTTATTAGGAACAAGTATGGGAGGTCTTATGACGTTCAACTCATAAAGAAGGTATGTTTTCTATGCGATGCGAAGATGACAAGCATAACACAGGGTACTTGTTAGAGTTGTCAATTTTTTCGTGACTATGGGATCTTAATTGGGGTGTGATTAGAAAACTGTTTGGCCCTTTTACATTTGTCCAATCCAATCCAATCCAATCCAATCCAATGTAGGAGTTCCTTGGAAGAAATCTCCTTGCTTTGAATGTCATGTGGAAGTATATGGAGCAGGTATGCAAATTCCTTCTACTCAAACAAATTTTAACTTTCTTGTTGGAACAAGCAACATGTCTGCAAACTGCAAAAGCAAAGTTGATAGTAATTAAATAATTAATCCAATCCAAATCTCTGAGTTTACATGGTTTCCTTGGTGTATGTTATGTATGAGCTTCTCTCAGAGATCCTTTCCACTGACTGAAGAAGAGTACCTATTGAGGCTGGACGATGTGGCAAACACCTTGAAATGCTGGGGAGCTGTGTCGCATATCCGAAACAGCCTAGCAAAGCTCAAAGAGAGGCCTCGGATAGGAAAGGTAATCAAATCATCCAATCCTATAATTTGCAAGTAACAGCAGAAATAATAATGAACAATGGATATGTTTGTTGATTTATTGTCCATATAACCATTTCTGCAAGTCATTTTGTGCAGGCAGTGAGCATTTTTATCGATATGGACGAGTCTGGAGGGCGTGCAAATGAATGGATTTACAAGTAAATTGGCAAACTGTGGAGGAATTTATAAGTGAAGCAGAAGCAGTGGGAGTGAGTTGCC